TTTCGGGAGAAGGTCTACGAAGAGAAAGGGAATGAGGAGGACCATTTGGCAGAGTTGAACTTGTTGGAGGAAAGGCGGATGGTTGCTGAGGCTAAAATGATAGAGTACCAGCAAGCGGCCAAGGCCTACCATGATAACAAGGTAGGGCCTCGTTATTTCCAAGTCGGTGATGAGGTCTTGAGACGAAGGGAGGCCAGCATACCGGGTGATGGTGGAAAGCTTGCAAAGAAATGGGAAGGTCCATATAGGGTCACAACAATATTACGCCCTGGGACATACAAGTTAGAAACAATGGAAGGTCGGGAGTTGGAAAGGTGCTGGAATTCCCACCACCTTAGAAAATTCTACCGATAGACCAAATTGGCAAGGCATACATTTGTAATATCCCTTCGATGATGAATAAGAGATTTCTTCAATACTTGTTGTGCTGGGTCAGTAATACTAAACTAATGTCTTGATGTAAGAGGCAAGGTCAAAAAAAAAAACCCTTGAGATAGGGGCCTTGATGTTGAGGTATGGCCTTGAGATAGGCTGGGTCTGGAAGAGGACTCGCGTCCATACTTACATGGATCCCTACCAAATTTTCATTTGGATAGGGGCAAAAAGATGCCAAAGTAAAAAATGATTACCGTCTTGCATGAGCCATCCTTTGCGGATTGAAAGGTCTAGGGAAGACTAGAATTTACTTCAAACGCATAATATATGGACATGTAAGATTGGATGAGGGCTGGTTCTCACCGGCATGCCTCCACGTGGGAAGATTGGGTTGGCTAGGTCAACCTAATGATTAGAGAATGGCACATTAAAAAACTTAAAACCTGGAAGAGGGGCCCTGGAAGAAGGGTGTGGCCTGGAAGAGGGCTGAACCTTGGAGAGGGTTCGCGATCATAGGTCATGGTCAAAATCTCCGAAGAAAGTTCGGGTCTTGATGTTGAGACTTGATGATTCCAAAACCATTTCGGATTATTCGTTCGAAATTTGAGCAAGGTTGCTGTTAGGCATGACACCCAGGCAAGAGGGGGAAAAGAAGGTGGCAGGGTCAAAAGTGACCGGTCACTTTTTGATGTTCTGGATTGACAAGAAAATGCGAATGGGAAAAAATTAAAATTTGACCGGTCAACTTTGAGAAAAGTGACCGGTCACTTTTTTAGTTAGCAGTTTTGATGAAATCAGGCAAATCTGAAAACCTTCCGTTTTGACCGGTCATATTTTTGGCCCGGCACCTGGACAGAAAATTTGACGTCATGCTGGTTACATATTGCAACCAAGCCATTAGAACCTGGAAGTTGACTGGGTCAGGAAACAGGCGAGGAAGAAACCGACCTAGACGTTTTCAAGTCAAGAAACCAGGACATGAGATGGCATGGAAGTTTTCAAGCCTTGCGTCTAAAGTGGTCTTCAAAACTTCCAACCTAGCCTACTACACCAGGACATGAGATGACCTGGACGTTTGTTGCAGTTCAACCTAGACACAAGCCGGTCCAGAAGACTAGTCAGGCCACAAGATCTGGACATTTTCAAGGTTGCAAGACCTAGATGTTTTCAAGGCTTGTACTTGACCAG